TGCGGAGCCATCGCGGGGCTGGGCGTCGTGGGCCTGCTGTGCCTGGGCTTCGGGCTGGTGATGGTGCTGACGCTGCCCGGCATGTTGCGGCAGCAGGTCGCCAAGGTAAGGGGCTGCCCGGTAGACTGCCGCGGGGCGGGGAGGCTCTCCCCGGCGTGGAGCCCCAAGCTTGGCTTCGCCCTTCCCGCGGCGCTTTGCGGGGAGTCGCCGAAGTCCGAGCGCCTCTGGAGAGGCTCGTTCTGCGCTCTGGTTTTTTTTAAACCTGCATAATCGAGATTGAATGGCCGCTGACTTCTCTTTCCTGCCGGTCCCTTGCGCTGGTGCTTAAAGATGCGCTCTGTCGGAGCGCGGAGGTTCGCTGAAGCGCCGGGGCATCGCTTGCGTTTATCACCCTGCCCGTGTGGGAGACCTTCCCTCTCCTCCGTGTTCTCTTCCACCAACCCTGCGAGGTAGGCTGAGGAACGCTCCTTTGCCCCTGCGTGCAGAAATCTGAGCTACCTTGTCTAAATCTCCTCTCTTTTCCTGCCTTTGCAAATCCTTCTCCTTTCCCAAATCGGCTTAATTCTTTTAAAAACAGGTTGGGTCACCCATCTGGAGGCTGGGAAAAGAGACAAGAGGCACACAAATACACACACCCATCGTCTAGTCCTTTGCTGAGACGGGCACGCTCAGCCAACCTTTGCTGTAGCTTCACTTGGACCATACTGCTCCAAAGATGCTACCACGGCCTGCGAGGGGGACGTTTTGTGCAATCGGGCTTTTGTAACGTTTTATGCAACCTTTCCTTCTGGTGCTTTGTGACCTAGTCTCAGGGTCGGGCATACCCGAGACGGGTTGCCAGGGGAATGGCGGCAGATTAAAAAACTGGAGCTTTGTCCCTGGATAGGGCGGTGGGATGGGGTGCAAGTTGGCATAAGCCCTATTGCTGATGGTTCCTCGGGATTTGCAAAACAGGACCGCCTTTGGCATCCTCGCTTGCCCAGTGTTGGCTCTATAGCAGCGAGGGCTGCCGATTGGCGTTCCGAAGGGTGGCCCTCGCGGTACCCGGCCAGGATGAGGACGCCCGTCGCTGTCCTCATCCCAAAGTGGAACCCATAGAGATGCATGGAAAAATTTATGTATTTATATATATTTATGTTTTTAATGTTTGTTGTGAGTCGCCCAGAGTTCCCCCATCAGGGGGAGATGGGCGGGTGAGAAATTTAATAAATAATAATAATAATAACAACAACAGCAGCAGCAACATCCCCCAAGTCTTGCCCCTAGCATTCCTTGCAGAACTGGGAAGGCGGCTTTGGTTTTGCCCGCAGGTTTGCCAACATCACTGAGTTTCTGTTCGGAAACCAGCTGTCTCCCTTTCCCCTTCCTGCTTCTGTCACCCGTGATGGAAACGCAATAGCTGTGTTGGGTTACAGTGTTTAGTTGTTGCTGGTGCAACAAAGGAGCAGATCCACATTGCAAAGCGGCGGGCGTTCCAAGGGCTTCTAACCTAAGCGGATTTCCCCCCACCCCACCTCACCAGCCCCGTTGGCCTTTGTAGAGGACAGAGGGGTTTAAGATGCACGGGGTTTAGTCTGCAGCATAGGACCGATTGTACAGATCCGAAGGAGACGGGCCAGCGCCTTCATGGGGCTTCTGTGCGTGCATGTTTATTAAGCACATCCCCATCCCCGGGGATGCACCCTCCGATATTTTAAATTTGCAAGACCGTACAGATAAGAAGGGCTGAAATACCCCAGTGGCAATACAGGGTCAGAAACAAAACAAGGAAAGTTTAATTAAATGGCTTCAATCCCCACCCATCCCCTTCTTTGATCTCCTCTGTTAAAAAACAGTCTGTTCCTCTCTTGGCTAAGAATGCGATTCTTAACCCCTGCAGCCATTTGGGTCTGCCTCACCTGCAGCGGTGGAATAGTGTTAAAATGTGAAAACGTATTTTCCAGAAAACTTTTCCGAATAAATCAACCCGTTTTCTTCCTCTCCTGCTGCCTGTTTTTAGGCTGAGAGCTCCCCCCCCCACCCACCACGGGAAGGAACACAAAAAATTCGAAAACTTATTTTTCTGGGTTGAAAAAGTAATTT